AAGCAGCAAAGAGGGATGATAGAAGAACCACAGAGCGGCGTGCAGGAGACTGGGGAAGGAACTGGGATAGGAGACAAGAAAGCAGGTATCAGAGGAGAAGAAAATAGAGGAAGCGTGATTGCCTGTGGCAGCCCTGATGTCCGTTTGCCCTGCCTGGGTTGGGTCCCCCTGTAAAGGCAGGAAGCAGCAGTGGCAGATTCAGCCAGGCCTGAAGATGAAGGTTTGTGTTTGAGGTACCCCAGAGCCTCCTGACAACCTCAAGCTGTCTGAACTGGTCCTTTCACTGACTTTTCCCCTGTTGAGGCTCAAATGAGGCTCTAACCTGGACAGAAAGTTCCCAGAGGATGCAATGCTTTACATTCTCTGTGCTGTGAGGGAAAAGGGTGAATCCACCCACACTGCCCAGTTCTACCCATGCTGTGGAGGTTCCAGCCCATCACCTGCCTCCCTGCTCCGAGCAGGAGGCTTCACAGGGATGGGGTGGCCCCAACCCATCCCGATAACTCGTGGCAGCAACACTTGCACAAACCCTTAATTGTTTGGTTTAAAGAATGGTGTTTTGACCACAAGGGGATTCTGGCTGGAGCTCAAGAACTGATAATGATATTTTGCTGCCAAGACGTCTTCTTGGCTCTGCCTGCGTTAATGTTCACTTACAAGAAGCTCCAATTAACTGCATCAGCTCTCAGAGAGCGAGAGTGAGAGTGGGAGAGAGATGATGTCTCTGCAAAAGAAAGAGAGAGAAAGCAAGAAAGAAAGCAGGGGGTGGAGGGGGAAGAAAGAAGGAAAAGCAAAGCACAGCAAGCAACACAACCAGCCTCCAGGCAGCACTTGGTCCATGGCAGGAGATGACTTCCAAGACACTGGTCCATGGAGTGGTGGCCAGCATGGTGACACAGACGGCTTTTGGGCTGTCATGAGTAAGCAGAGCCTGAATGAAGAAGGTGCAGCAGAGCTGGGCGAGTGGTTGCAGCCCCTGGCCCCTACAGGGGCTCAGCCTGGGGCAGGGCTCTCCTGCTGCCATGGGGTTTGACCAAAGCCCTGAGGACCAGAGCCCCTTTGGGCTCTCCCAAAGGATTGCTCCGGCTCGTCCAGGGGCTTTGGAGAGCCGGCAAAGGGGATTTCTCTCTGGAGCCGAGGCTGTGCCCTGGATGGCTCCCGCTCGGCGCAAGGGTCAGATCCTGCCCCGCAGCTCACATTACACGGACCTGAAGACAGGAAGATTTAAGAGTGGAGATGCCACACAGTACAGTGTGTTGTTTGTCTGCCTTTGAAATAGGAGTTAGTGAGAGCCGGGGGGGAAGGAGGGGGGCACCGGCCTGTTCCCCTGACGTACAGCTCCTCTGGCATTGAGGGGAACTGCATTGACTCTCTTTGCTCTGTTGCTTCAGGTGCAGCTATGTTTTCTTACATGTTAATTTTTTCCTGTTTTATTATCCTGTCCCTCAGCCGCTACCAGAGCCCCTCCATGGGTGCAGGGAATGCTTCCTTCTGCCAGCAGCTGGGATGCATTTGGCCAGGGTGAGCCCTGCGGCCGCTGCTCTCTGGGGAGCAGGGATGGGTGGCTCCTGCTGCACCAGCCTTCAGATGGACCTGGGCAAAGCAGATCCCTTCCCAGAGGTGACTGGGGTTGGCTCTGACCATGCCATCACTCCCCTGGTCCCTTGGGTGCTCAGCATTGCCTTTGGACAACACCTCTCGCTATTCATTCAGTACACGGGGAGCAGAAGCAGATTAAAGTTGAGTGCTATGAATGTGCTCAGCAGGAAACCCCCAGCAATTTATTCCTTCCCTGCATGGCTCCCAGGAAGCCCTTTCCTGTCTCAGGGCTCCAGCATCCTATACCCAGCCATGCAGCATCCAGCTCCAGCACCAGTAGGGTCCCTGCTTCTGAAGAGCAGTGGGGGAAGAGGCAGACCCAGGTCTGGAGCCCACCGGAGCACGGATGGAGCTGGGATCTCTCCTTGCTGCCAGACACAGATCTTGGCAGGGGTAGGGATGGGATGTGAGACAATTCTTGCATTTACATTTGAATTTCAATAAAATTGTGTTATTTTGTGTTTTATTACAGGGCTGGTGCAATAAAAGCACCCATCAGCCCCAGGGTGCCTCTTTGCCTTAGAAGGTCTCTCCAGCAGTTTGGGCCACGCGGCCTCTGCTTCATCACCAAACCTGCTCTGCTCTCACCAAGGAGAGGTCTCCTTCATGTAAATAAACCCAATGTTTAAGGGCTGCTACAAGCCCTGAAATGCAAATTGAGCTCCTCTATTTAAATAAACCACAAGGCTGAACCTCCTGCAGGTAAGCACAGGGTGTTCCCGACTTCTTACAGCTCTGCACCCTCCCTGCAGCATGTCAAACCATGAGGCAGATCCAGCCCCAACCAGAGAAAAATCAGGATGCTTCTTTAAAGAATAAGGTTATTTATTCTGTGGGGTTTTTCTTTGTGTTCTCCCTTTCAGAATGGAAAACTTCTGGGTGCACTTTGTCAAGCTTTGCTCTTGATTGGAATGGAAGATGCTCTCCTTCCGAGTCAATAAAGAGACCCAGGACACAGTTTAGCATTTGGCCCTTTGCTCGTCTGCTGGATTAATTTCAACTAAATTATAGGTAAGGAATGATTGATTATTGTGATGATTAAGAATTTATCCTCATCTAATACCTTTCATCTGCCGAGGGTGCAGATATTACAGGAAGATGTACAGGGAAAAATCATGTGTTGATTCAACTCTCAAGCCATTGGGAAGGAGCACGGATCTCCCGATCCGGCTTCAGAGAGGGCACAGCCAGGGATGGAGGACAAAGCAGTTTTACAGGGGTTCAGGATCCAGGCAGCAAGGAGGCAGGTCCCACAGCCCCAGCCAAGCCTGTGAATCAGTTGTGGTGATGGAAGGTTGCTCATGCTCAGAGCTAACATGGAGATCCCTCCAACGCTGCCCTTGCACACCTGAGCACACACTGGCAATGGGACCAGTTATCTCACGGTCCTCACGGGAGGGAGCTGTCTTGTAGCCCCTGTTCTGGAAGGAGCTCATGCATGGACAGCCTGATGGGTCCTGGCCGTGCCTGCAACATTTCAATCCCTCCTCAGCATCTCTGCTGTCCACCTGGGCTCTGGCACGGTTTGCACCCCCTTGCCACTGGTGCCCATTCCTCCCCTTCCCAATGGTGATGGATTGATTTCCTCAGCAGAAAAGACACCAGTTCACAGTGGGGCTGACAGGGAAGATCCCTCCGGCAGGGCTGCAGCCCCCTCTGCCCGGGGCCTCGCCACCCCTTCCCTGGCCTCAGACAGTCCTCAAACAACAACTGTCTGCGCCCGCTAATCCCTCGCAGGTGACCTCAAGACAGCCGACGCCTCCCGCTAAACTCCAGCATTCCTCCGCACCGCATTAACCCCTTCAGCATCGCATCCGGCCCCCCCGGACCCCAACCCACCCGCTCCCCTTCCCGGGGGCTGCCTGGAGCATCCCCCTCCCAGAGCTCCCGGTCAGAGGTTAAAAGCCTAATGTATTATTATAAAGCCAAAGAGAAAAAGCCTCGCATTCTCCCCTATAAATCTTCCTAACAACCCAGGCACATGTGGGAGCCAGACGATGCCCCAGCCTCTCCCTCCTGTACCCACTCGCCGGGCTCCATCTCACGGCTGCAGTGGGTCTCCCTCCGTGTCCTCAGTGGGATGTCCCAGGATGGGCAATGGGAGCTGCAAGGCTGAGGGTGACAGTGATGGCTGGAGGGCTGAGTGGTTTTGAGGAAGCAGGGCAGCCACAGCCCAGGACTTAGTGGCACCAAGAGCTCTGCCCTGCCCCACAGCACCCCACACCCCCAGCTCTGCTCCCCACCACTCTGTGCTTTTAGGGGTTTTTTTCTCCTTAACTCAAGCAAGACCTCAGGAACCAAATGATTTCTTGTGTAAATAACTCGGCTTCAGCAGGTCCGTGCCGGTAACGCTGGACCACCGGCTGTTTGATCAATGGTGAGCATTTAATACCTGTGTGGAGATTTGCTCCAGCATGACAACAGCTGTGGGGAACAAAGACTCGGCTTTTCCCTTATTCTCCTTTTTTTTCTTTCCCAATATCTACATATATTTTTTCGGAGCGATGCCAAAGTTTCCAGAGATCAAAGTGAAACCAGTGTCCAGAGATGATCGAGGCAATAAAACAGAAGAAAGAAAGAGAAAAGGGGGAAGAAATGGGATGTGGAGGGAAGGCTGCACCAGGAGCTGCAGCAGAGGATGCTGCGGGTGCTGCACCAGCTGCACCAGCCGTGGCGCTTCCTAGGGAGCAAAGCAGAGTCCTGCTCTGTCCTGCTTCATGGACACCTTTCTAGGGTGGGGAGCAAAACTGACCCAAAAGGGAGCTCTGACACCTGGGGACCTCAGGAAGGATCCACAGAAGGAGCACATGGCCCACACCTAAGTAACGTCTCCATTGGTTTCAGTTAGGTGGGGTTTGGGGTTTTCCTTCCTTTATGGCAAGCCTGAAACTCCAACCAACCAGAGGCCTATAAATCACAGCCATTCCCAAGCTCACCCGAGCCAAGAGAAGCCATTGATTTGTTCTTATTTTTGAAGCAAAACAGCCCATGGGCCAACAGTTGCTGGAAAGGCAGGACAGACCCAGACCAGAGCAAACTGCTGTCTCCACCTTCAACACCCAAACTCCACATCCTAGAACCTGGCCCCTTGTCTGGTCCAGGTCATGGGTTTGGGTGTCTAAGGAAGCCAGAGGATCCCATGAAGGCCTGGGGATCAGATGGGTCTTTTATTCCGCTCCCTCACTTCCCTGCAGCTCTGGTTGGACTTCTCCATCCCTGCACCAAGATGCAATTTGCACCCATTGTCTTTGCCTTTGCAAGCCCTGTGGAAACAGCCTCTCCTGAGCGGAATGGAGATGAGAGGAGCGCTTCTTGTTATAGCTCTGCTCTCCCCTCCACCAGATCTGCCTTTAACTCCCGTGCCTTAGATGCCCAGAGCGGTGTGAAAGCAGCTTTCTCACCTGGACGTGCTGAGCAGGCTCTTCCCGAGAAGAAAGGCCCACAAAGAACCCCACCAGCAGGATTTGTCTGTGAACAAACTGTGAACTGCGACCGAGCGCCTTTCAACCTCCAAATCCACGTAAGCACCGCGCGGCGGCTGCAGATCGATGGCGCTGATCAAAACACCAGCATTCGTTTCAAGGGCTCACCAGATATCCCCCAGACACTGGTTATTTGGTAACTTATTCTGTAAACATGCAGGGGGGGCTCGCTCGATGTGCACAGAGTGTTTGCTCTCGGCTCTGCTTTCTTAAGGCTCTTTCTGAGCTTTGCCATTCAGCTCTTCTCTCCCAGCCCTTCGGCTTAGTCGAGCTCAGTCGCTTCAGCCGAGCACATCCTTGGGCTGGGGCAGAGGCTTGGTCCTGACTCCTCAACCTGGGTAGAAGCAGGACTTTAATCTTGACCATTAGGAAATCACAGCTTGGGTCTCCCCCGCCTGAGGCAGCACCTAAAAAGCATCCAGAAAAGCTGCTGTTTCTGGGTTTCACATTGCTCCAGTTCATATTTTTGAGCTTTATCTTAGCCACAAGAACAGGAAAATATTTTTTCTCTAAAGGAGGAAAGAGACAAGATTTTCACATAACCACACGATTCCTGAGGCTTTAAATGCCTCCAGGTTTTGGGAGACTCACAGTACAACTCCTAAGGATTGGTAAGATGTTGCACTGCTCAGTTTGGCTGGTCAGTGTGGGCCAGAGCTGCAAAGAGCTCACACAGAAAGCCCCACAAAGAGCTGGGGCTTTGGCATTGGCTTGTTTCTTGGAAAAGCCAAAATCCCTATTGCAACCACCCCTGTGAACAGCAGTGAGCTCTGGATCTGAGTAAAGCAATGCACCAAGGTGACACTGCTGAGCCAGTCACTTGACCACAGCCAGCAGCCGAATCAATGCCTGGTGCCAGCTTCCAGGGGCTCTGTGTGACTTTCCCTCCCATCCCCATGGCCCCCATGCCCGAGGGAGGACTGAAACCAAGGGCAAGAGGCTTATCGCCCTCTGAGCCGGGTGCTAGATCCATCGGTATCAGTGTCTTGCCTTAGCCAATCTTGAGAGATAAGTGAATCCCCCGCGCCGGCTGACAGGCGGGTAGACATTAATAATTATGTACTATTTAAGGCTGATTGAAAATGAAGAGGTGGAGGTGTTGGGACAGATGTGGCAGTGCCAGATGGATTGTGATTAGATTAGCACCGTTCCATTTGACGGGATCTGAACCATGCTTTAATCATTTATTGTGAAGGCTCAGCCCCGCGCCGGCACACGGGCGCGCATCGCCCTCCCTGTTGCTCCACTCTTGCACCACTGGTGAGTTTGGATCACCCTGCTCCAAGTTGTCTTTCCTTCAAACCCGTGGTGTTTACAGCTGGTATTTCAAGCCCCGATCCCTCCCCTCTGCCTCTCATCTCCTTGTTTGTACAAAGCCTCCTGCAATCGCCGAGCTGAGCCTGTTAGTCACTGCCCTCATATAAACAGCGTCGCTGAGCAGACAACCCCTCTGCCATGGGATGAGGCACATCAGTGAGCAGTGGGACCTGGACCAAAGAAGGGTCCCCCTTTGTTCCTGAAGCAGCATTGTCACCCCTTGGCTGCCTCTGCTCCTGGATGGATTCAGAGCACACTCATCCTGCATCATCCCAACAGCACCTGGCCTTCAGTGTGGATACTGCTGCTCTACAACAGGCCTATTTGCACCAAGCACATCCAAAAGTGCTTCACCAGAAGCCACTGGTTGTATTACAGAAGAGTGCAGCGGTCCAGGGAAAAGGAAAATAAAATGCCAGTATCCACTTGAGATCCCTGGAGAAATAAAAGAGGCAGAACAGGATTACCTGGGTAACTGGAAACTATCTCAAGACCCTCGCTGGCAGTGTCATGCAATTTCAATTATCATAAGTGGTCTGGATCTCAATGGATGGAAAAACTTATTATTGTTATTATTCCCTTCCAACGTGATAGGTTTTAGTTAAACACACATCCGTATCTATTAATCATGCAACATTTAAGATGGAGCCAAAGTAATTAGCCAAGATTTAGACTGCAGGGATCACCTTAAAACAAAACATAACACACTTGCTTCCCTGTAGTCCTTATTCAGCCATTTGCTGTCAGGCTTGGCTGTTCCCTGGATGTTAAACTTGGAGCACAGTGAGGACAGGAACCTTTCCCATCCCAACTGGTACAGGTTTCAGGGTGGATGGTGGTCTGAGGCTGCTGTGCTGGTTTACATGTGCAGGGATGCCACAGAGGTGGCATCTCAGTGGCAGTGAGAGGCTTCTGCCTTTCTGTGACATTTGTGAAGCACGTCCAGATGAAAGGCAGACTAACTGTAAGCTATTATTATACTGTCTAATATAGTTTAATATGTGTGCACTACTTTCTATAGAGTGCAATACAATCAAAACCACATTACTTCTCCATGTGGGTAGTTTTCCTGCGTTGACTTGTTTCCAAAACAGATGTGAATTCTTAGCAAGGTCTCCCGCCCCTCTCCGTGAAGAGGATAAAATGTCATCTTTGCTTATGGATGCAAAACCAAAAGGCCCATAGGAACACAAAACTGGCATTTCCAAGTAGGTCAGGGCCTTGTGTGGGGCAGTGTCCCACCCGAGCCCAGCTGTTCCCACAGGTTTCCAAACTGGGTACAAAGAGGTCTGGTAATGAGCGAGAATGGGATAATTCATGTAGCTGATGGCCCTAACCTCAGCCCTCCCGACTGGTGCGTGCCCCAGGGCACTGAGTTAGAGCTGGTTATTCTCTCTGAGGCAACTTCAGAAGTGTTTTGGGGGTTGGCAATGCTTTCCATTGCTTTCCAGACCTCTTCCTAGCCCTGGCCTCAAAACCACAAACTCCTCACAGCTCTAGCAACTGCAAATCACTGGGATCCCCACAGACCTACCGCTCATCTTCCAGGGTCTGGAGAGCCCCATTGTGCCAGTTCTGCCCTGAGACACTCAGGTTTAGTCTGAAGAGCTTTCCCCTGAGGGTTTGGGGCTGCTGTCCTGGTTTGGGATCTCCCATTACCCTGTGGTTCTTACAGTGTCCTCGGATGGCTGCAAACCACCACCAAAGCCCCACCAGAGCCTCCTGCCAGGGCCTTTGAGTATCACTGGGTTTCAGCTGTGAGAAACCACTGCTGGAGCTGGGAGGGTGAGAAGCTGGGGGGGGACCTGGCCTAAGCAGCGCTTTCCCCCTGGCCCCAGCTCGGTGAAGCAGTGTGGGCTTCACCAGCACAGAGCCCTGCAGCCAAAAACCCGCCGCACACAGCTACAGACACCTCTGTTTCCACACATCCTGCAAGGGGGTTTCCATCAGGAAATGCCGAGTTCCCGTCTCAGGGACACTCCCTTCTTCCAGGCTGGGTTGATATATGAGCGGTGAGGACTGGCCAGATCCTTGTGGGAGATTAGAGCATCCCAAGCAGCTGGTGTGAGCAGGGAGTCAGCAGCGGGGCAAGCACTGGGCTCCAGCGAGCATCCCAGGAGAAAGATGTTACAGAGGGAGGAGTTGGGACAACAGCAGCGGAAGATGGGAAGGGATGAGGGGACAGCGCAGGGCAGGGATGGCTGTGGCCGGGGCAGGTCTCAGCGCTGCACCTTGCTCCCTGCTCCGGTGCTTGCCGCTAGCGGCCGGCCTGGCCGGGTGGCTGCACGCAGTGGGTCTTTGCCGCTTTACTCCTGTTTACAGAGATGGGAATTTGCATGATGAAAATAACCTGGGACGGATTTTGATTTTACTGCCCTTGGCAGAAGGCTTGGAAAAAACCGGTGCATAGTCAATTACTGGAATTTTTAAACACAAATAATATTTTATGTGATCAGCAGCCTGGCTCGGGGCCTGGGCACCGCGCTCCAACGGCACTTATGAAAGGAACAAGCCATCAATTGTGCTGCCGCGCACAGGAGCCCGTGGGCAGGTGCAGCCTGTGTTGACCTTAGCACACACAGAGCCCGCTTAACCCGTGAGGGATGGGCCGGAGATTTGCGAGGTTCAGACTTGGCTCCTGCTGCCTTGCACTGGCTGGAAACTTCTCCCCTCCCTTCCTTTTTCCACCAGATACCGGGGAAGCATCATCCCTCGGTAGACACACACAGGGGGATGCACAAAGCTGAGGCTCTCATTGCTGAGGCTGGAGATGCAGAGCAAGGTGCCTGGGGCCCATCCCTGGGGCAGCTTCAGAACCCAGCACTGGAGGGGAAGGGGTTAACCGAAGCAGGGGCCCCACGCTTTTCCCCCAAATCCCCTCCATCCTGGCAGGCTCCCCAAACCAACAGCCCTGGGACCTCATTCCCAGAAACGCTCGAGCCGGGAAGGCGGGTTCCGGGAAGGACCTGCACGAGCCAGCGGAGCCCTAACGTGGTGCAGGAACCTCCCTGGCAGCCACAGACCCTCCTGGGATTGAGGGAATTAGGGGAATTACACTCCCCTTGCTGGGACAAGGACAAGCAGCGAGGCTGCATCAGCGAGGCTGGGAGTTGCGTTTAGCTCCTGTGGTACTTATATGGCTTCTATCCGCAGCAAGGGTGAGCGAGAGATGGCTTAGGGAGGCAGAACCATATTAATTCATTAACTTATCACAAATACTTTTTATTTTAGAGCGCTGGGCACTGAAAGGGCTTTAAATTTCCAGGACTGTTGCCAGTTTCCTCCTTCTCTGCCGTCCTCACATTAAACCCTCACCCCGCGGGTCCCCTTGGCTCGCTGCACGGGGCATCCAGTGCCGCTGCTTCCTGCAGGTCCAGTGTGGAAGTGCCCTGCAGCAGCCAGGCTGTGTGTGAGAGCTGCTGGCACAGCCTGCAGGGTGCAATCCCTTGGCAGAGTGACCACTTCTGGCTTCAAAGCGCTTCAGATAGCGGCGATGAGGAGGATGATGATAACTGTCTGCCTGCTCGGCTCAGAAATAGGCTTTAAGGGTAAAAAAAGTGCTATTGTTGTTGTTCCAGGGCCAAGGAGAAGAAAAATTCCTTCCCCGTTTCAGGATCTCTAACACCTGGGTAGAGTTTCACTTCTCTCAGCTGCCTGCTTCAAGGTTTGATAGCTACTTCCTAATAACCCAGGGCTGGATCCAAAGCTCACTAAGTCAGCCGGATTCTTTCCATTCATCTAACGCTGATCAGACCTTTCTTGGCTGATTCGAAATCATTTGACACCCTGAGTGTGTGCACCCATGTTAGAGCCAGAGACTGTTTTCAAGTGGCTTCTTGAATGACTTTTTCATGTGCACTTAGCTGGGGCAAAAACTGATGTCACAAAAGCTGCTCTGAGTTCCCATGTGCCGGTCGTGCTGCGCAGGGGCCGTTGTGTTCTGCTCTCCCAATCAAGGTACATACAAGTGCTTCCTGCCCAGCACTCGATGCTCCTGACCGGCTCCTGGCCCTTGGGAAGATGCCTGTGGGGAGAAGGAGGAGGCTCCAGCTGTGCAAGGAGCTGATGGCCTCCATGCAGCAGGTTTGAGCTGTTTGCTCTCGCTGGGGCAGCTCGGATGCAGCTCGGATGGAGCAGGCGACCTCGAATCATGCAGGGAAGGGTCTGGGTGGCTGAGCCGGACACTCTCCTCTGAGCCAGTGCTGCCCTGGTGCACTCTGGCTGGGGCTCTGTACTTGCTGCCTGACCCCATCCAAGTGTCACTGTTCCTGAGGGCTCCTTGGATGGCATC